ATATAATAATAAAATGCTTGGTCTGTCCTTCTGTCCTAAGTTGGCCTTTTCTGATTTCACGTGTTTTTTTTTAATAGTAATCTTATGACGTGTCAAATTTTGACAATTCTTTTTCTCATTTTTGCCAAAGTTGTATAATTGTGTTTCCAAATTTCGGAATAAGTTTCTTTAAAATTCCAAATTTGAAAATTCAATTCACGATGCTGAAGTACACAACGTTTACCAACGAAATTTTTTTTAAAGTTGTATATTGATTCAAAAATTGTATTACAAGTACAAAAAATTTATGATGAGAAAAAAGATGCGCCAGGAAATTTCGTACAAGATAGTAATTTGAAAAAAATTTATTTTTAAAAATTAATTTTTAAGGTACCAGGGGCCAACGATTACCTATTAAATATTAATTATAAAAACACAGGCCTTGAATCAACTTAAAGACACAAAAAAGTCGTTTTAGTCGATTTATATTCCAAAAAAAAAGTGGATTTGTTTTTTATTTTAACAAAAATATTTTACAGATTTTTAAATAAAAATTTTTTTTTTAATAATAATCCTTTTCGAAGGGTTAAATTTGAAATTTTTAGAAATAATTAAATTTCAAAAGATATATTGTTAATTTTCAAACAATTACTAAATTTTACAGTAACTAAAAATAATTTATCAAACAATTTTTGGAAAACATTTTTTAAATTTAATTGAATATTCAATGATTTAAAATTCAGATTTTTGAAATTAATTGAAACTTTAAGTGTTTTGTATTTAAAATTTTAGATGATTTCACTAAAAATTTATTAGAAAATGCGGACAAAATACAATAATTTGAAAATAATTTTTAATTGAAAAATGGTTTCAGATAATTGAATTTTCAAAGAATATTATTAAAATAGTTAAAAATAATTGAATTTCCTTAGAGTTATAATTGAAATTATTATTAAATTTCAAAAAAAAGATTTTCGATGGAAAATTTTAGAAATAATTAAATTTTAGATGCTTTTAAATTCAAATTATTGAAAATTCAATTAATTTTGAATTCAAATTTTTGAGAAAAATGAAATTTTATTTGATTTTAAATTTGGAAAATAATTGAATTTCAGTTTATTTTGAATTGAAAATTTTGGAAGATAATTTAATTTAAGTTCATTTTTGATTGGAAATTTGGATAATTAATTTTGAATAGAAATTTTAGAAAATAATTTAATTTTATTTGATTTTAAATGGAAAACTTGGTAAATAATTAAATTTTAAATTGAAAATTTTTGATAATTATTAGATTTTTAATTGATTTTGAATTAAAATTTCGGGTAATAATTAAATTTTAGTTTATTTTGAATTGAAAATTTTGGGAATAAATTGAATTTTAATTGAAATTTTGGATAATAATTTAATTTAAGTTCATTTTTGTGTAAAAATTTGGATAATTAATTTTGAATAGAAATTTTAGAAAATAATTTAATTTTATTTCATTTTAAATGGAAAACTTGGTAAATAATTAAATTTTAAATTGAAAATTTTTGATAATTATTGGATTTTTAATTGATTTTGAATTAAAATTTCGGGTAATAATTAAATTTTAGTTTATTTTGAATTGAAAATTTTGGGAATAAATTGAATTTTAATTGAAATTTTGGATAATAATTTAATTTAAGTTCATTTTTGAGTAAAAATTTGGATAATTAATTTTGAATAGAAATTTTAGAAAATAATTGAATTTTATTTCATTTTAAATGTAAAACTTGGTAAATAATTAAATTTTAAATTGAAAATTTTGGATAATTATTGGATTTTTAATTGATTTTGAATTAAAATTTCGGGTAATAATTGAATTTTAGTTTATTTTAAATTGAAATTTTTAAAAAATAATTCAATTTTATTGTGATATATTTTTTTTTAAATTATAAACAATTGTTAAATTTCATAAAAATTTTTATTGAAAAATAATTTTGATATAATTGAATTTGTGATGTATTTCATTAAAATTATTAAAAATAATAATTAATTTAGTGAAGAATCATTTTAGTACAAAATTTGTTAAATAATTGAATTGAAGAAGATATTACATTTTATACTAAAAAAATGTATTTTATTTACATTTTTTTCTCAAATGTAAAAAAAAATGTCGCATTTTATTAAAATAAGTCGATAAAAGTCGTATTTTTGAAAAAAGTCGGAAAAAGTCGTATAATCCGAGGCCTGTAAACATATAATTTTCATTATTATCATTTAATATGTAATAATATTCTATTAAATTAAATTATTATTGATAATATTAATCTTTAATTTCTTTATAACAAACAATTAAATACTCAATTTGGCGCGTTTAATTTTGCTAGTATTATGATTAAATAGTTAATTAGTAGGTTTACGGATTTTTTTTTTATTCGCACCGTCAATGAAAAAAAAGGGATGATGATACACAGTAAATAGTGAGATGGTTCGATAATTCATAATTATTAATTTCGTTTGAGAATCGCAATAATCTAGAAACATTAGCTGTATTGGCAAAAGTTGAATTGATAGATGATCGATGAAGACAAGAGGCATCAAAAGGTGCCAGGTATATATATATATAGAAGGGAACCTTATAATTATCTAGAAAGAACTTAATGGGTTTTTCAAAAGGTCCCAACCATTTCAAATCTCTTGATGTCAATCTTTCACGAATCATCAGTTACTCTTTTTTTTTTTATTAATAATTTCTTTTCACCTATTCCGTGAATCTTTTATATGTTAATAAAAAGTGTTAATTAACTTTCATTCACGTTTAATATAGAAATACTTTCAAAGATTATCTTTTGGAAAAAAAATTTAAGTCATTTTAATAATCTTGTAAAAATGATCTAAAAATAATGAGAAAAATATAAAATAATAATCTAGGAAATATAAAAAATATAAAATACAAAAAAATAAAAAACTGTTTTAAAAAAATAATTGAATTAAATATTCAATAAATAATGAAATTTATTTTCTTTTGATTTATATACATTCAATACAATAAATAAATTGAGAAAATGAATGTATGTACATTTCTTTTGATATTATAAATAGAGGAATGATAAATTTAAATTTTATTTGTTTTGAAATAAATTTTCTCCATTGTATAAATGGGTGTATTTAAACACTAACGCTATTTACCAACAGCAATATAAGCTTTTATTTGTCACAATGTGTAAAATATTAGCTAATATTTTTGCAACTCATAAAAGATAAGAATAAGTCGAAGTTCTCACGAAGGAACGATGAATCATCTCTCTCGATTCTGTATATGAAAACCCATTCACAATGTATATATATATATATATATATATGTTTGGCCAAAAGAAATTTACCCAACAAACACATTCACCGCAGGAGGTTCCATTGCAATTGTAATCTCCCCGCAACAAAACTGATAATTCAAGCAATATTTTGCAAATTTTTCATTATTTTTTTTTTTCAATCATAAGTTTATTTAAAAAAAAAAATTTACTTTTTAAAAATTATTTTTTTTAAATTTGATTTAAAAAAATTTTTAAATTTCAGGATATTTTTTTAAATTAAAAGATTTGGTGGTAATTTTTTGGGATCTTAAAAAAAAAAATTAAAATAAGGGTACATAAAAAAGCAAAAGTGTTGTTTCAACACACCTACAAATCGTATCTACCTGTATTTAGCAAATAATTCTACTTTAGCTTGCGGGAATAAATTCGTCGGCAATCAAAAGTCATCATTCCGTAGGACCAAAATGAAAAAAAAACATTTTTTTTTTTTTGAAGCGTAACATTAAAGATCACAAGGTGTTCGCTTGGCAGATAGACCTCTGTTTTGCCTAAGGCTTTTGTACATCATTGCACATTAATTCAAAAATAAGAAAATTTTTTTTTTTTGAATTATATTTTAAATTTTTAAATCTTGAGATTATGATAAATATTAGTTATTGATTTTTAGGATATTGCATAACGAAATAATAAAAAAATTTGGAAAAAAATATGAATTAAAAGAAATTAATTAATAATAAATAAAAAAATAAATAAGAAATAAAAAATAATTAACAAAATAAATATAGATAAGAAATAAATAATAAATAAGAAATAAATGAAAAATAAGTAAAAAAGAATAAATAACAAAATAGAATCAAAAGTGAAAATTTAAGATCGATGAATTTGAATAAAAATAATTAATTGCTTGGACTATACGCATATATATATATATATATATATATATACGATTAAAAGTAGCCTTTGGGCTGCTTACACAGCATCGCTCTGTCGTTTTGAGTGAATAAAAAAGAAAAGGGAAAAAAAGAGGTGGCGAAGGGCCAAAAGGGACGCCCATCTTTCGAAATGCTAAGAGAGAGAGAGAGTGTATGTGTGTGTGTACTTTTTTGCGTTGAAACTGCCCACTCGGCACCATTCAAAAGGACCTTCATAAAAAAGTTTTGAATCGCCAGAACCATTCGCAGAATATTAGACTCGCCATATATATATATACATATAAGCACACACCAACATCAAAATTTCAAAACCATATATCCTTACAAAACAGAGGTGTAATTAGAAACGCTTGTTTGTAAAACCTTCTTCTTTTTCATTTGTTCACGCGAATAAAAAAAATATGAAAGATAAAAATCCTTTTCGAGTTCATAATGAACCAGTAGGTTTCGCTAAAGAAATAGTATATTTACCTTACACAACCTGTCTTCGAATAGAAAAAAGAATTTTTATACTCACAGAAAATTAAAAGGCATTAAAATAAGCGTTGCAGCTTATTTTAATGCCTTTTAATTTTCTGTGCTTATATTATTTAAGTTTAATTTAAGTTAATATTTTATTAATAAATTATAAAATTTATTAATAAAAATTAATAGAAATGATTCGTTTAATACAAAATAAGAGTAAACAAATAATAATAATAATAATAATAAATAGTGATTGTAAAATAACATATTTAATTTCAATTTTCCAAAAAGTACCCAAAAAAATAATTAAAAATTGAAAAAAATTATTATAATAGAGAAAAAATAATTATTTTAAAAAATTCATTTATTACACAAGAGTATACAAATATATAATAATAGTGATAGTTGTAAAATAAAAATTTAAAAATCGTTGAAAAAAATATAGAATAATATTAATAATAAATAGTGGAAAATAAAATTTTTAACAATCATTGAAAACAATTGATTTGTATTAAATAATTATTATATTAATTAACAAAAAATCACTACAGAAAATAAATATTAAAAATTAAATAAATATCACAGGAATCATAAAAATATCTTAAAATATTAATTTTTTTCATTTTTTTAAAAAAATTTGCATTATCGAATTATTTAAACAAATTATTATTAGAGGTGATCTTAATATTTTTTTTTGAAATTAATTTTTTTAGAGCTTCAAAATTATTATCGCAAATCATATTGAAATTAGAAATTTCTCCTTAGAAATTTATTTTCGCTTAGGCGTTGGTTTTGGAATTGTACTCTGCACATTGGCGTATTTAGGATTTTTTGGAATTGAATTTGTATTCTTATCATCTTTCTTCATTTCATATCCCTTACGTATTTTTTCTCTTGCTGCAAGAATTGTTGTATTCGCTGTTAAATTACTTGATTTTCTCACTGATACTGATGAAAATGAAATACTTCTTCTTGACGATGTCCCCAATTTTGGAGTAATGTTAAGCGTTGAATTTCTTTTTAAGGGCGTTATTGTCAGTGACGGTGATTTAATTTTACTTTTTTCTGACAAACAATTTTGATTTACGTCTTTTTGGAATTGCTAAGAAAAAAAAAATTACATTAAATTCTCTCTTATTTTCATTGTTTTTAATTTATTTAAAATACTTTTTTTTTTTAATTATTAAAAATAATGTATTAAAACAAACCATTTTCATGTCCATGAATTCTGTGCACTGAAAGAAATTAAATTTATCAATTATTATTAATAATTCGTTTATTGATGAATTTTTATTATTTTAAAAACATAATTATATTTTAAAATAAATTTTTCCATTAGTTTACTGAATTTAATAAAATTAATCATAATTTAATTAACGATTATAAATAATTTAATTGTTTTATTATTTTTTTTTTTAAACTGTATATTAATTATAATTTTTGTATATTAGAATAAAGAATATTTTTTTACCATAGTTGAAAGCTTATTTTGGTGATTATCAAGTTTCTTCATAAATTTCTGAATTATTTTTGAATTGGGAAAATTTTCATTTGACTCAATAGTGGAAGGAATTACATAACTATCATTGTTTGGACTTTTTATTTCAAATGTATCGGTCCTTCCGATGTCATTAAGCAAAACAGCAGGACTAATTGGTGTTGTAGTATTTTTAGAATTTAGCTGCAAAATTAAGACAATTGTTGTTACTTCTTATTTAATTATTAATTATTAATTATTAATTATTAATTATTAATTATTAATTATTAATTATTAATTATTAATTATTAATTATTAATTATTAATTATTAATTATTAATTATTAATTATTAATTATTAATTATTAATTATTAATTATTAATTATTATATTAATTACTAATTTAAAAAAATTATAATTTTTTAAAATGTCAAATTTGTTTAAATGAAAATATAAATAAAATAAATAATTACCCCATCTGGTAAATCTAAAGTTGATTCAATGATAGAAGTTGTATTGACATCAACATCTACATTCCTACATGTTTCTACTGATTTATTCAGCAAACCTTCAATATCATCAGCTATATTGTTTCTGTAAACAAAAATTTTTTTTTCACAATTTTTTTTCAAAAACACTTTTTTTTACAGATTTCCGTGAATCTTTTAATTTTCATGTTTCTATATTTTAAAAACTTTTTATTTATAAATTCCTTATAAAACCTACGAACCCTTTGTTTAGAATATTTGTTTGATTATGATGTTCCTCATAATTTTCTAATTTCAATTCCGTTTCACTGTCTATGGTATTTGTTATTATTTCGTCTTCCGAAAAATTATTTAGTATCTCAATTAAAAGATTACGAATTTCACTTTTTATTAGCAGTTGTTTATTATCCTAAAAATTTTGTTAATAATAATTTATTTTCAAAAAAATTTTTAATTAAATTATTATTAGTTTACAAATTATTATTTATTACTATTTTATAAAATAATTATTTTTTAAAAAAATTAAAATAGATTTTTTTAGATTTACTAAACTATTGAACTTAATGATTTTTACAATATTTAGAAAACTTACCGATTCTTTGAGGCTTTCAGATGTAAAATTTTCAATAACTTTTAAAATTTGCGATTTAACTTGTTCAATAATTTCAGAAATTTGCGATTTTAATTCATCAGATGAATTCATTTTTGCCATGTAAACTCTATTGATATCGATAATATACTGATTATACTCATTTGAAAACAGTTATTTATAATACCTTCAATGTCTTTCAAAGTCTTTGTTTATAAACCGCAAATTTTGTGATTTTGATAATCAATACAAAAATAAAATTTTCAAAATTTAATATTTAACACAATTCAAATTAAAACATAATAAAAATAATAATTATCATTAATTAAATTTGAATTTATTTTGTTTAAATATTTTCTTTAGTAAATAAAAATTAATTAATCAAAAGATTATAAACTTCTCATTAAGAAAACATATAACAGTTAATACTTATTATTATATATATTGAAAAAGAATACAAAAGCAAAATACTCTCGTTAGAATTCTTTTAATGGAATGTACATTAAACTTACTGACATTGCGCAAATACCACATGAAGTGGGTCGATTATAACCTTGGGTTCAGAAAGTGCTGTTACATATATATATATATATTATAAATAAAAGAAGATACCAGTTCCTGTAAAAAGATTCAGCAAAGTGGCTTAATTGAATCAAGCAGTGACATCCGAATTATCTGAAAGTTTTCATATGCGACATTTTTTGTTGGCACTCAATTTGTGTCACAAAAGTACCATGAAAGTGGACGTCAAACCGATGATCGACAGGTGATTAAAACGCAACAAAAAGAGTTACTTCAAAAAGTCATAAATAATTCCCAATGAAAGTTCCTTTAAAATATATATAATATTTTCAAGTGCAGTGAAGCTAACAGTCGAGTTCGTAATATGAAATTTATCAACTTAAGTTGACAACAAGTAACAAAAAAAAAAAATAGTAACAATTTTTATTGCTCTAAATAATGGCAAGCAGCGTACGGTAAATGTGAAATTTTTAGTTTTTTTGTTAGAAAATCGAGTGTAGAAAAAAATTTTAGGGTGGTTTTTTTAGAAAGTAGAAAAAAAATCGAAAATCGAGCCATTATTTATAACAAATAAAATTGTTTCTATTTTTTTTTATTACTCTTTATGATCTTACTCTCTAAATCTGAATTAGTAAAAATGTTTACTAATTTAAGTTAGTGATTCACTTTTTGCTTCTGAATTAGTGAAATTTTACTAATTATTAGTAACTTTTAGTAACAATTAGTAAAATTTTACTTATTATTAGTAACATTTTCTAAAAATTAGTAAAATTTAACTAATTCTAAAGCAAAAAGTGAGTCACTAATTTAAATTAGTAATCATTTTTACTAATTCAGAATTAGAGAGTAAATAATTATTTTTTGACGAATTTTCATTTTTCGAATTAGCATTTGGAAGAATTTTTATTTTATACGGAGTTTTTCATAAAAAAATTTTTAGCTACTAACTTTTTGTTTGGCAGAATTTCGAATTTATGAGAATTTTTATTTAACAGCTAGAATTCTCATTCAATCGAATTTTACTCTCTAAATCTGAATTAGTAAAAATGTTTACTAATTTGAATTAGTGAAAATAGTAAAAAATAGTAAAATAAATAATAATTTAAATAATAATAATAATAATAATAATAATAATAATTTAAATAGTAAAATTAATAAGTAATTAATTAATAGTAAAATTTTACTAATTATTAGTAACTTTTACTAATAATTAGTAAAATTTAACTAATTCTAAAGCAAAAAGTGAGTCACTAATTTAAATTAGTAATCATTTTTACTAATTCAGAATTAGAGAGTAAATAATTATTTTTTGATGAATTTTCATTTGAATTAGTGACTCACTTTTTGCTTCTGTAAAATAGTAAAATTAATAAGTAATTAATTAATAGTAAAATTTAACTAATTCTAAAGCAAAAAGTGAGTCGCTAATTTAAATTAGTAATCATTTTTACTAATTCAGATTTAGAGAGTAAGATTATTTTATTAAATATAAGAAAAATTTTATTTATTTTTTTTATGTATTTTTATATTAATATATTGACTTTCAATCTTTTTAATATCAATAATCTTGATTTGGTGAAAAATTTTTTTTTTAACTGAAATTTTTTTTTGAGAGATGGTATTTTTATTTGGTAATTTTTTTCATAGTGTCGAGAACGTTAATGATGAAGGAGGTAAAAGGATTTGTATGATAAATCTTTATGGAAAAAAACTAGCTACCAAAAATATTCATGATGAGATGGATGGGGAGGAGTACTCTCTCTCTCTCTCTCTGTCTCTCTTTTCCTCTCTCTCTGGGTGTTGCCAGGCAGCTTTCGACGTGGTTTTGTTTCTACTGTTGCGCATCTCGTCATATAGCTTTTTTCTTAATTTTTTAGTGATTGAACGATTAGAGGGAGGGCGGTATTTGTCAGTCAAAATTTAAGAGGATCGCCAAATGCAGTTGCATAAATTTATATTCATAAGTATTTGTCTTTTTAATCTTCCTCTTCTTCTTCTTCTTCTCTATTTTGCATATATCATTTTTCGAAAGTTTAATTAAAGAAAAAAAAATGACACGATTTAAAAAATTGAATTGAAAATAATAATGAATAATTGTATATATATTTTCTTAACAAGGAAAACTATTTTTAATTTAATTTTTATTTTTACTGAACTTGGTCCAGAAAAAAATGAAAATTCTAAAATACGAAAAATACAAAAAAAAAAAAAAAAATGAAAATGCTTAAAAAAAGAAACGACTTTCCACTTTCCAAGTGGAAAAAGCAAAGTTTTTTTTTTTGAAAAGTAAAAATTAAGATTCGGTTGAACACTTTAGAATAATAGACGAAGTACTTCGAACAATTTCGAACTTAAATCAAACTACACTTCTTCATTCCAACTAGCTTTTGAAACTTGGCCTGAGGCTTTAGAAACTACGTTTCGGTTTCAAACACAGAGGTATAAGCGAGAAAGTGTGTGAGAGAGAGAGAGTTCGAAACTTTCAATAATTCTATCAGAAATTTAACTGCATTTTGAAGTTAACACTTGCAGGAGTTACGTGGAGATAACAATTTTCCTATTGTTAAACTTTATTAAAAAATTAGAATTTATTTAAATACAGAAGCATTTTTTTTTATATTTATATATATATTCTAAAAGCACCTGTGTTTAGAGAAAGAAATTGGTTTTTAGTAAGAGATCCTTGCGGAAAAAAAAATACATACGGTTATATTAGTCCTAATATAACATTTTTTCTGGTTCCACTAATTTCGGCTTGTCCTTACAAATGAAAGGGTTCACCGCGTGTGCAATATGCCGTGCCTTTTTCTCAAATATTTGTTATTTCAGACGGCGGATGTCCCTAAAATGAGGAAGAATTCTCTCAAGGAAGGAATTTACCTCGTGGTCTTTTGCCAAAAAAAAAAAAAAAAAAATTTCTTTCATTTCCATTTATAAAATGAGAATGCCCGCCATCATATTTTTTTTTTTTGCATTTTTGCCAATTTTTAAAATTCATCTGCAAAAAATAATTTTTTTTTTTTTAATAATACAGTTCATTATTGTTTACTAGAAACTAATTATTGTTTGAATTAGACAAAAGTTGTATTAATTTATTTAGTAAATCTAAAATTATTTTCCATATTAGTAAAAGTCATTTTGTACTATAACTCGCTCCATTAAATTTTGACAACTGTATTTAGTATATACTTAGAAAAGAGGACTTTTGTTTATTTATCTAATATTTGACTTTCTGTTGCCCAACTCCAAAAGTTTAAGCTACTAAGTTTGTTTGCTTCTCTCTCTCTTTTCCTTAGCTATATCTGCAGGTTGATTTAGGATTTAAGGATTTTCAGGTTTGCGCCGTTCAAAAAGATCACGTGAACAAATATATATTTTTGTCAGAGTCTAAAAGTCCAATGATTTCTTTATTTAACCACCTTGTGGACCACAATTCACTTTAAAAACTAATCATTTTCAGAATAAATAATAAAAATGATGAATTATTCTTATAATGCTGTCACAATATAATTCTTATAGAAACATTTTTCAACATAAGAATAATATATTTATCTTCCAAAAAGGGATAATGTAATAAGTTATTCTATTCCCTTTTACCCCGTTAGTGAATCAAATTACCCCAATCGTGTGACAATTTACCCCGTGATAGTCTTATTTTACTCCCTCTGCAAAACAAGTATTTATTTCTCCCTTAATCTAAATTAAAAAAAAAATTATTATTTTTTTTAATTTTATAATTACATTTTTTTAAAACCTTTTTCAAAATCAGGCACTAAAAAAAAACATTATTGTTTTTAATTTATACAAATTTGTGAGAAAAAAAAACACAAAGAAGTAATTATTTCGAATTTAAGGGGATTAAAATTTTTTTTTTTTTTTTTTCTTGAATAATCCAAATGAATACACAACTTCCTGGTTCCTGTTGCCTTTAAACTTGAAATTTTCAGTGAAAACATAGTCGCCAGACGAATGAGAGACCTGTCTGTGATATTGTATGTATAGAAGAAAAATATAATATAGGAAACGAGGGGGATAGTCGTGTTTGGATAGTCTTTAACTGACCATTACACCTGAATAGAATGCAACATAATAGAAAAGGGCAGCTTGGTCCTTGATCCGACCGACCCACTTCCTGTGAGACTCGAATGGGGTCGATTCATGGGATTCAACGGACAACATACGTTATACACTTTATTCGTATACAGTTTCAGTTTCTATATATAGGTATATGTATATATATGCAACTGCTTCGTAGGCCGGTTCGACCAGATTTACATCAATAAAAAATAACTACTATATTTACTGTCCCATAACCTATCCTAAATTTTCTATTTATGAAAATTTGTATTTTCAATTATTTGAAATTCAAATGAGATCAAATTTCTATTTAATTAGTTTTTTCAGTAGTATTTATGTTCAATTTTTATTTAGCCAAATTCGTATTTTACCTAATTAGTGTTTAACCAAAATAAGTGTTTAGCCAAAATCGTATTTAACCAAAATCATATTTAACCGAATTCGTATTTCCCGTAATTAGTGTTTAACTAAATTCGTATTTAATTTAATTTGTATTTAACCGGATTTGTGTTTGACTTAATTAGTATTTAGCCAAAATCTTTCTTAATCAAATTCGTCTTTAACCGAATTCGTATTTTACCAATTTAGTGTTTAACCAAGTTA